GGGGTGGGAAGTGTATTGGCTGACAGAGAGTCACATGAGGTAAATGAAAATATGAGAGAACTGGGGTGAGGCCCAGGCAGGGTTGGCACATGAGTCTGCAGTGGGCGTGGCCAACCAGCACCTGGTCCTGGCCCCCTGGAGGCAGGAACCAAGGTGACTGGCAAAGCCTGTGGTTCTGAGTGACCGTGAGGTACCAGGGTGGCTGCCTATGGTTCACAGAAATGCACTAGCAATGAACTTTCCAAAAAGGAAAGTAAGAAAACAATACCATTTACAATAGTGTCACAATAGATAAAATACTCAGGAAGAAATTTAACTAAAGAAGTACAAGATTTGTACACTGAGAACTACAAAACATTGTTGAAAGAAATGAAAGACTTAAACAAAAAAGATCCCGTGGTCAGGGATTAGAGGACTTAATATTGTTAAGATGACACTACTCCCTAAGTTGACCTACAGAGTCCATGCAATGCCTATCGAAATTCCAACTGCCTTTTTGGCAGAAATGGACAAGCTGATCCTAAAATTCATATGAAAATACAAAGGACCCAGATTAGCCAGAACAATATTAAAAAAGAACGAAGTTGAAAAACTCACACTTTGGTATTCTAAAACTTAGTACAAAGCTGTAAAAATCAAGATAGTGTGGTACTGATAAAAGGATAGACATTCAGATCCATGGAATAGCCTTGGGGGTTCAGAAGCAAACTCTCACATTTATGGTCAATTGATTTTTGACAGGAGTAACAAGACAATTCAATAGGGAAAGAATAATCTTTTCAACAAATGGTGCTGGGACAACCAGATATCCACATGAAAAAGAATGAGTTTACATCATATAAAAAAATTAACTCAAAATACATCAAAGACCTAAATGGAAGAGCTGAAATTAGAAAATTCTTAGAAAACATGAGGCTAAATCTTCATGACTTTGGATTTGGCAGTGGTTTCTTAGATATGACATCAAAAGCACAAGTAACCAAAGAAAAAAATAAATTGGACTTTATCAAAATTAAAAACTTTCGTGCTTCAAAGGACACTATCAAGAAAGGGAAAGAATAACCCACAGATGGGAGAAAATATTTGCAAACCATATATCTGGAAAAAGTCTAGCCTCCAGAATATATAAAGAACTCTTACAACTCAACAATAAAAAAACAAATAAGCCAATTAAAAAATGGGCAAAAGATCTGAATAGACATTTCTCCAAAGAAGATATGCAAATAGCCAGTAAATACATGAAAAGATACCCAACATCATTAGTTATTAGAGAAACGCAAACCAAAACCACAATGAGATATCACTCCACACCCACTAGGATGGCTAGAATAGGAAAAAAAAAAAAAAAGACAATAAGAATTGGCTGGATGGTAGAGAAATTGGAGCCCTAGCCCATTGCTGGTGAGAACGTACAATAGTGCAGCTGCTTTAAAAATAGTTTGACAGTTCCTCAAAAAGTTAAACTAGACTTAGCCATGTGACCCAACAATTAGCAATTCCTCTCCTAGATATATACTTAAGAATTGAAAACATATGTTCACACAAAAACGTATACCTGAATGTTCGTAGCGGCATAATTCCTAATAGCCAAAAAAGTGGAAATACCCCAAACATCCTGATAGATGGAGATACGGGATGGACAAGAGGAGATGAGACACACTCACGCCTTGAAGGGAGATACTAGAGCGTGTGGATCCATGTTGCTCCAATGACTTGAGAGGAGATAGCTGGGGCTGGAAGAGTTAGAGAAGACACTGTGGAATGGAGAGAATTGCACTGAGGTCTAGGAAAGTTGAAGCCAGAGAGTTCTAGAGGAAGGCCAATAAACAGCATTTCCAGGCAGGGAAATAGCTAGAGCAAAGCCTGGAGGCAGGAAAGGCTGTTGGACATGCAGGAGATAGGAAGCAGAGGTCCTTAAGGAGGGAGCGTGGGAGTGGCCAGACTTGCTGAAGGGCGCCACGAAAGCTCCCTAGTCAAAGACTGGGGCCAAAAAGGGTATTAGGTTGATGTCAGGTCCCAGTGCTCACCATCCTACTGCCTTGTCGGGGAGAAGCTGGTGTGAAATCTGTTGGCCTGACTTTAGCCCCATCACCTGGTCACCGCGGCACCTTTCTCTGACCCTGGCCCCTCAGTCAGGACAGCAGAGCCTGTGCATGTGGCCTCGTATTTGTGGTGTGAGAAAGCACCTTTCCTCAGAACGGAAATCCCACAGGGCCCTCCTCACCTGCCCTGCCCACCCCGATGCCTGCTTGGCTTGGGGCTGGCGTGTGCCCTTTGCAGGTCCTGGCAGCCTGGCTTGCATTGTTTTCGTGCCCTAACAGACCTCAGAAAGGAGAGCCGCTAACTCCCAGTAGCATTTAGCTTCGCTCTTTAAACATCTGGGTCACAGATATGCTCAGTTAATTAATGTTCTTAGCGCTGCTCATTTGCCTGCTGGATAATAGATTGATTCATAATTTCAATAAGCAGCTGTGTATATCTTTCCCCTGAACATAAAGGCAGCTTGCTGTCATTCATCACTTTGCATTTGGCGAATTTAAATATATTCAGAGAGACACTGTTTAGGGAGGGGTAAGGGAGGAGGCGCAGGGGAAGACTTCTGATTTTCTTGCCATTTTGCCTCCAACAATTACTCTGATTTGGAAGTAATTTGGGTTTAAAGCACATGTTAACCGCATCTCTCTCAAGGGCACTTAATAAATTGGGATGAGAGCAGAGGGTTTCTGAGTAGCTTTCACAGGAGCCAAGAGCCCCTGCAGAGAAGATCCCCGCCCCCCCTCCCCCTCCACCCCCCCCCCAGGAGAAGGGGCACTCATGTCCCTGAGCAGAGTTCCCTTCCTGGCTGGAAATGCCCAAGCGCTTGAGAGGAGCCCAGGATCATCTGAGAAGAAGCCACCGTGCTGCTCAGCTGCTGGGCCAGGGCCACCACCCATCAGGTCTCAGGGGACCCAAGGATAGAGGTCAGGATGTGGCCAGGTGACCAGATGTCTTCATGCCTTGGTTTGCTCATCTTTAAAATGGGGAGAGTGATAGCCTCTATCTCACAGGGTTGTTATGAAAATTTCATTATTTATTCTCTACAATGCTTACATACAACGCAGAGTATGCCTTCCGTACATGCCAGCTGGTAATAGCATTTTTTAATTTATTAGGCACCAGCTGTATATTAATGATCATCACTCCTGCCCCAGCCACCTCACAGGATTGTGAGAACAATCATGACGATTGTGCTTGCCTCTCGTGGTCCAGCCTGCACTGGAATCATCTCAGAGAGGGCGGACACAGCCCCAGGCTTATATTCTCAGAAGCCTGTCCCCAGGCAGAGCACACAGAGAGCTCTTCAAAACTTGTTTGTGGAGTTTAAATGAATAAATGTGGTTGCCTTTTTAAAATGATGACGTTCACCACATTTATAATGTGCTCATCCGCAAACATGTTTTGAGCAGTTGGTCTGTGATTTTCTTCTATCATGGAATGAAATGAATTAGATACGATTCCTGCCCCTAAAGGAATGTGACAATAGGGGAATACGTTTGTTCAAAAGTTGGAATGCAAGGTTTTAAACATGTGGGCAGGCAGGAGAGGAAAGGCCACTAAACTGTCATGGGCCCTGTGGTGGGAAGGCTTGGCAGGCAACACCATCTCTGTATCAGTTAGTTATTGCTGCATAAAAACTACCCCAAAACTTAGTGGCATAAAGCAATATGCATTTATGATTGTTCACAAGTCTACAGGTCAGCTGGCTGGTTCTGTGATCTGGACCAGGCTCAGCTGATTCTGGCTGGATTCGTTCATGCATCTCCTGTCAGCTAGCGGGTTGGCCTAGGGCTGCCTGATCTGGGATGATCTCATCCACTTGTCTGATGGTTGACTGGCTGTTGGTTGGGTCACAAGTATCTCATCCTCCAGCAAGCCTGCTGGGCTTACTGCCATGGTGCCAGCAGGGTTCCGAGAGTGTGGAACCATGCAAAGTCTAATCCAGGAATAGGCACGTCCTCGCTTCCAATACATTCTGTTGGCCAAAGCAAGTCACAAGGCCAACCAGTATTCAAAGGATGGGGAAAGAGTAATCCCTTGATGGGAATTACTACAAAGTCATACTGCCAAGGGTGTATAGAAGGAAGAGTGAAGGACGTGGGTGTTTTTGCAATCTATCACAATCTCCTACCATTGTCGCAGGACGTGGAGCAGAAAGCAAGTACCAGGATTATGTTGCACATTTAGGATGTTTCTGTGCCTTTTCATCATTATAAATAAGGTTGCAATAAATATCCTATACATAACTTATGTGCACAGCTCTGATTATTTCCTTGGAATAGATTTCTAAAGTGGATTTACTGAGTCAAAGGAGAGGATAATTTTCAAAGCACAAAGTATATGTTTTGAAATCCCTTTTTTGAAAGATTGTAATAATTTTCCCTGCCTCCAGCCCATTTTATATTGACCTTGGCAAAATGTGAATAATGTCTTTTTTTAAATGTGGCATCTCATTGTTTTAGTTTTTTATTTAATACCTATGAGGTTGAATGTTTAATATGTCTGTTTCTTCTTCTGTGAACTGCTTCTTTGGGCCCTTTGCAGCAGAGTAGATTTAATGAATCTCAGTTTACAAGTGAGGAGGAAATGGAGGTTCAGAGAGGTTAAGTGACTTGTTCAGGTGGCCCAGCCAGCCGGAAGCAGAACCAAGGTTTAGAAGTCAGATGTCCTGCTCTTTTACTTTTTCCTGCTCCCTCATGTTCTGAACAGAAGGCTAGAATCCTAAAACATGAACAGAGGACACGCTTCAAAGAAAATCAGACAGTGACCCTAGGGAATCTATATCCAGGCTTGTCAAGCTGGAGAGCTTCCTGGGCAGGGCTCACCTGTGAGTTGGCTGTGTGGGGGTGTGACGGGCCTGCAGTGCTGATGGAGGTGGGGTGAGACCTGCGGACCTGAACCATGTTTCCCTTTGTGGTCTCAACCGTGCCTCCCCCTCCCCTGCTGCTCTGCTCTCTCCCTAGCTCGCCCGCTACACCAAGGAAGGCTTCCTGCACCTGGGAGCCCTGGGGACCACCACACTCCTCCCTGACACCCGCTGCCTGGTGGACAACTCCAAGAGTCGGCTGCCCCAGCTCCTTGACTGCGACAAGGTCAAGAGCAGCCTGTACAAGCGCTGGAACTTCATCCAGGTGAGCGCTGGGTGCACAGGGCCGGCCCCCCGGAGCAGCCAGAGGAATCTGCTTCCCCAAGGGGATCCCACAAAGTGCCACCAGAGGTCTCCCAGCCCTGGGCCAGGCCCAGAGACCCAGGGCACGTTCAAGGGGATGGGCGGGGGGATTTAGGTGTGAGAAGCCTCCCTGCAGCCGTGCTAATCTGGGTTGGGCTCTGACAGATCTCCAGAGGGGGTGTGGGGGTGATTTTCCTGAAATCTGCTAAGTACCTACAGTAAGTAGGATTGAGAAAGTCAGACCTTGAATGTCCCAGGGAATCCTGCATCTGGACACCATCCCCACCAAAGCTCGTCACCTGGTTCAGCCACTCAAACTTGGGGAAGCTTGTTTGTTTTCTGACTTTAGGGTTTCCAGAGGAGGTCCCGATCATCTCTCCCCCAGTGCAAAGAATTTTGGTGGGATTGTTCCCCATGAGAGGCCATGTGCCAGGCACTATGGTGGTTAAACCTTGCTCTCTCTCTTTCTTGCTGTCTCTGTCTCTCTGTGTCTGTCTCTCTATGTCACTCTTTCTCATTCTCTGTATCTCTCTCTCAATCTCTGTATCTCTCTCTGTCTGTCCCTGTCTCTCTGTCTTTCTGTCTGTCTGTCTCTGCCTTTCTCTCTATCTGTCTGTCTCTGTATCTCTGTCTCTCTCTGTCTCTGTCTATGACTCTCTCTGTATGTGTGTGTCTCTCTCTCTGTCCGTCTCTCTCTCTCTCCTCCCTTGTACCCCCATCTCCTCCCAGAATGGAGCCATCATGAATAAAGGCACAGGGCGATGCCTGGAGGTGGAGAACCGGGGCCTGGCTGGCATTGACCTCATCCTCCGCAGCTGCACAGGACAGAGGTGGACGATTAAGAACTCCATCAAGTAGTGGGGAGGAGCTGGGGTCCCCGGAGCCTGGCCCCTGGGACAGGGTGTGCCATCTTCTGGACCAGCCACACTGGTGGAGAGACAGCAAGGGGCCAGCAGGTGCTCATTGGGCCTCCCGGGGCTTCTCTAGGGCAGCATGGGGGCCCCAGATGGAGACTTTGTGTCCCCATCAGGCATTCAGCTGTCATGAGGCTCACACACCCTGGAAAAGCCCCCTCAACCTTTCTCTGGGAACCCAGGAGCCATGTCTTCTACAGCCTGAATGTGGACCTGGTACCAAGGAGTGAAAGAAACATCCACACCTCCTCCTTGTCATCTTCCTCCCTACTATCAGGACTGGGACTGGCAGGGGCCCCACCCTTTTCTCATCTTTTGCAGCAGCAGCAGCAGTTTCTGAATTCCACTCCAGCCCTCAACAAAGTGGGGAGGGTCTCAGCCACATCCTAGCTCCCCTCCTCAGAGGAGACAGCCAGGCCCTGAGACTCAGTTTCCCCTGAGGTTGCTTCTGCCCAGAAACCCATTCATAGCCCAAGGCTGCCACGCCCAAACCTTTCCATCAGGTGGCCTTGAGGGCAGCAGCTCTGGACTTTTCTGGACCATCCCTGAGATGGCCTGGAAGAAGCTGACACTTCCACAGTCATCAGGGCACTAGGATCCTATGTGCCTGGGCCAGCTCTTCTGCCTATGTCTGGAAGGAGCCAGAGGCAGGAATAGGCTGGGCACGCGGGGTAGTCTCAGCTGTGAGTGCCCCCAGGCTACAGCCAGGCCAGTGTAGCTCTGCCTGCTCGGGGACCAGGGAGCCCTGACTCATGGAGGCTGCTATGGGGGGAGCAGCAAGGGGCCTCCACCTGGAGCTTAAGGACTGGAGCCAGCACAGCAAAGCGGGACAGGACCCTCGAGGATGCTCTGTGCTCATTTCAGTTCACCTCATGCTCTGCTGGCTGACAGGGGAGAAGGCAGTCGATTCCTCTCAGAAGAGTAATAATTTTTTTCGATTGCCCTCTGGTTAGGGTGCACTTATAAATCAGAGTTAATATATGGATGTGTGTGCATGTGTATGAGTATGCGTGCCTGTGTGTGCGCGTGGCAGGGTGTGTGCAGCTGCATGTGCGTATATGCGTGTGGCACCATGTGGCGTGTGTCTGGGTGTATGTGCCTGAGTGCGTGGTAGAGCAGACGTGGAAGTGTGTCCTTGGGCCTGCTGCTTCATTGCTCTCCTGGATTGGGACACGGCTGCCAAGAAGCTTGGGGGGCTGGCCATGCATTGTTCGCCAGGAGGACATGGCTCGGCCTTGCCCCATGTGGTGCCCCAGATGGAAGGCTGTCCCTTCTGCCAGTTCCCATCTCTCCCTCGTGCCGTCCCCAGCCAAGCCCTGCCCAGTGCCAAACCCTGTAGTTGCCCAGTTGGGGGTTCACAGTGTTTCATTTGGTGGCATCTTATTGGTGATCACCCTGCCCATCTCCCCTCTCGTGAAATAAATACATGTGAGCACTTCCCAAAGCAGCCTGTGCACTTCTTGGTTCCTCCAGAACCTGGGACCAGGGGAGGGGAGTTCCAGGGACGTGGCAGAGGGCTTCTTTGGTTGGGAGTTTGTTTTATTAAAGGCAAAAACCCTATAGCTTGGGGCTGAGACAAAGCCAGCCTGCATTTGCACTCGCCTCCCTCCCGAAGAGGACAGAGCTCGACATCTGGCACTTGCTTACTAACCCCTGTTGACCCTGGCGTAGGTGGGTCAGGCTGGTACAGAAACCTATAAGGAAGCGGAGGGTTGTAGGTGATCCAGCTGAGCCATGCTGATCTGCCCCCTTCTGCTGCCATGCAGCCACTTCTGCCTCCCGAGGCAGACCATGGAGCCTGTGGTGGGAGCATCTGCCTCTTCTGTTCATGAAAAAGTGAAATCATAAAAGCACCAGGCCTCTGTCATGGAAATGGGCGTGGAAGGAATGGGCAGGAGTCCCTTTGGCTATCACAGCCCCATGCCTCTCTTCCTTTGAGGAAGCCAAGAAGGCCCATCTTGTGTGATGTCACACAACACACAGACATGCATATCAGTTACCATTTGCCCCTTGCGTTCTATGAGAATTGGGATCCATATGCACGTTGATGGAAAATGCTGCACTTTGGTATTGAGTTTATCGGACCTAAATGTTAGAGTCTCAGGGTAACTGTGAAGTGAAAGGAACTGCAGATGTGCAGGTTCCCCTGTGAGGTCAGGGAGATGCTGAGATAATATCACGAGGCGGTACTTTGGGGAGGAGTCCTCCCAGAGTATGCCGTTCTCCCTCCTGTGTGGGTCTTAAAGTAGAAGTGCAAAGAAGGTGGCATCCCACTTTACCATTAGCTGAGGTTTTGACCTCAAATCCCAGTGAGGTACTCAGTGGGCCCATATGGGATCCTTCGTCCTACAGGAAATGGGCCCAAACCTCCTCAGACAAAAGAAATCGTGAGGTCTGCCCTGTTCTCCTACAATATCCAAACCCACATCCACTCTGATGGAATCAGGCCTACACCCTTCTGTGCTCTGGCATGCCCACTGCACTTTGGGCTCATTTGTACTCCTAGGCTGCACTCCCAAAATATGGACAGCATGAAGTATCCTGGAACTCACACAAAAGAAGTACTTCCCCTCTTCAGTGTCACATGGCAGCAGGACAGGATGTTTGGGTTTGCTTTTGGGGAGCCATTTGCGTCTGGGCACCAGTCCATGTGCTCCAAGTCTAGGCTCCGGCCCATAGTTATAGCATGCAGGAGGCCTGGGCCGTCTGTTCATATAAGCACTGGCTGTCCGCACTCACCTGGGCTTCCTCCCAAAGGCTAGTCTAGCTGAGGAGAGCATGAGGCCAGCATCCCAGATCAGTCCCCTCTTTGCCCTGCAGGGTCCCGGTGTCCTAAAGGTGGTAGGGTCGGGAGGCCAGAGGCTAAGGCAGAAAAAAGGAATCAATGATATCAGAGAGAAAGGAGAGAAAAGGGAAGTAGGGGCCCTGGGCGACCTTGTGGTCCTCCATCTGAGGGAATTTAGTAGTTCTGGAGACCTACACGTCTGCTCAGGCCTACAGGCAGCAAGCTCCAAGCATTGGACCCCAGGGAAATCTCACACTCCGTCACCGGATGTTGGAAGTTGGCCCCACGTGTAGTTTGAGGAGTGACAGATGAGCTTCCCGCCCCTCACTCTCAGCCTGCACAGGTGAATGCTGCACAGGGAGCTGAGTTCTGACAACTTTTGCTGGTCTACCTCTATGCACTCAGTCCCCTCCCCCTGGTGCCCCCACTCCCCTGTCTCGTGGCCATTTCTTTCTCTCTTCTCTAATTTTCCCCCCAATTTATATGGTAAAAAATATCACAGATGGTATTCCTGAAACATGTCCAAGCCATCAAAGTCAATGTCTTTGAAGCTACATGTGTTATTTCTCAAATGTGTTTTTTATACTTATTCTGGTGGCTAGAAAAGAAGAAATAGAAAAGACTGGGAAAGCACAATTTGGGCCAGAAGCCACCATCTTAAGCCACTCCAAGCCTTTTTACTTGGGTTTCTGGAGCCATTTCTTTTCATCTGATATTTTTCTGCCATTCTTAAAAAGTCTTTGTTTCGCAAAGTCAGGCCAGGCAGAGCAGGCGACTCTCTCAGGGCTGGCCAGTGAACCATCCAATAGTTGCTTGCTATTTCTCCTTCCACTGTGCCTGGGAGTGATGCTCTGAGAATGGCTGAGCAACAGCCAACCAGGTGGGGATGGGCTTGGGAGGGGCCTGGAGCTTGCACAGGGAACCAGGTGGCCATGAAGTCTGGGAACTGCCCGGTGACGGGACTTGTGTTGCCAATCCCTGCTCGTTGTCAGCATGTCAGCCTCTTGTTTTGATTTGAGCTCCAGATCAGCAGTTGGGCTGGCAGGTCATCACCCCCTATCAGCTGCCCCTTCCTCTCTCCTGGATCACAAATCCCAGCCTCTTGGCCGCTCTGCTTTCTCACTTGGCAAGTTTCCCAGACCCGAGTATGGGGATCAGTGGTGGACCCCAAACTCCAGCGGTCCATTTCAATTCAAGTCAACAAATATATTTGGACTTAGCGTGTGGTTTGCTTTTGAAGACTTCTTGGAAGGGAAGGAGAGAGGGAGGGAAAGAAGAAAGAGCTAAAATACATTGAGCAAGTGACCATGAATATCATGGTCTTTAGCCCTTAAAGCTTATATCTGAGGAAAGAAAATAGTCACAATCTATTGGGCGTCCCCACCTCTGAAGGCTGGACAGTCATGAAATGGGGTCTACGCCTATTGGCATAAATGGGGGTCAAGGCGTATTAGCAAATTCCAGTGTTCTTTCTCCAAAGAGCCTCCAGCTAGCTGATGGAAGGATCTTGCAAATATGGCTCCCAGCTTGACTTCATCTGCTACCTATTGACACAAGCTCCCAACACCGCCCAAACACAAAGAGCCAAGCTGAGAAACTAAGAAAGCCAGACAGGGATCACTGGTGCTGCTAACGGTTCCAGAACACAGGAGACTGTCAGGCTTAGCCTGTTATTATCAGCATCCTTACTCGACGGTCAGAGGATTCGTATTACTCCAGGGTCAAAATAGCATCGAATCCACTCTCCCACCCACCTGTCCAGGTAATCCCTCCGTATCTGCTTGATAAACTCTAGAGACAGCTTGTTCTAGAGCAGAAAATTCTTTCTGACAGCGAGCCAAGTCCAAGTCTAACCTATTCCCACTGTCCTGCCCCCTGGAGCTCTGAACAAGACTAACTGCCCCTTAAAATCTACAGCGTCCTTCAAGTCAGCGCCCTCCTGGAAGCTTTAATACTGCTGCTCAAAACTGAGAGAAACAACCCATATCCCACTGGCAGCGACTTCCCCAGTGTGCAGAATTCATGGCTGCCGCCTGGAGAAACGGTTAACCTTCTTGGTGAGGGAGGCCATGTCCCATTTGCCACAGAGTTGGGCATATATTGTGGAAGATGTTTATCTGCCATTTCTTAACTAATAGATGGAATCCTTCCAAAGAAGAAAAAATTCTCACAGACCCTCAGCATTGATCTAATTTATTTTTTATTATTATGTTTCTCAAATACGTGTAAACATAAAATGGCTTTTGCTCATAGGTCCATTACAACTATAAAATAAAGATAAATTTACAAGTCAATCCAAACAAATCTACAAAGTCAATAAAAAGTTAACAATGTTCATTCAACGTGGTGGCAGCGTTGTTTGCTGAGACCAAATGACTGCTCCTCTGATGCTGGCGCCAGCTGCTCTGCAGAGGCTCTTCTGTGCCTCCCGATAACTTGGACCTCCCACCACTTTTCTGTACTCCACGTATTTTTGAAATATTGATTCACTGTTCATTCATTCAACACATATTTACTAACCACCTCCTGTCTGTCTGGGCATAGCCGAGGATCTAGTCCTGAGCAGAGCAGATAGAAACCTTGCTCTCCAGGAATTTATATTCCAGTGGTTTTCCTGAGGGACAAACACATTTACATTAAAATCTCCACTCTCTTCTCTCTCACCTGTAACAAGTACTGTAGAACTATTTAGCACCAATGTGGTTGTGACACAAATGCAAACAGATGCTCTAAACTCACCATCAATGCTAAGCTGGTCATCCACGTAATCCAGAATATGCTTGTATTAATTTTTAGATAATTATCAAAATGAAAGACAAAATTTGAAAATCTTACAGACATCTTGCAGCTGCAGGAGTCTGCTGAGAAGCCCCAGATGCTAAGAAGCGCCGTCGGAGAAGCACAGCTGGGTCCTTAGATGCTTTCCGCGTCCTTAGAGCTTGTTTCGATAAAGATGTGGTACCTTCAGACCGACGACAGCTCTCATCCCTCTGAGAGAGAAATTATTCCCATCAGGGCTTGTTTTCAACTCTTGCTTTTCTTCTGATTGCTCACCTTTTGGTCATTCCCAGGCTTGTTACAATATGTGGAAAAGAGCACAACCTCATTACTGAAAATTACAGGATTTTCAATGCTGGTGCAAAAGCTTGCTGGGTGGACTTCGGAAAGCATTGCTCAGACTGAGGTGTAGGGATGCTCGGTGAACTTGATCAACGTCAACTGGACTAAGCTTTTCACAAAAACATGGTTCATCGGCAGCTGACGTAATGCACCTCCGTCCCAGGAGTCTGGGCTCTCATCCAGTGTGAAATCCAGGTTGGAAAGGCAGGAAAAGTGGGCATCCAGTGGGCACATGGCAACAGGCACTGGGGGAACTTGCAGCGTCAGCATGAGCTTCAGAAGTTGAGGTTTCTACAGGGCCTGTGGCAGAGTCACTGATTAGTTACACGGCCGGGTGTTTATAACCCAGCCATGTAGATAACAAAAAAGAATGTACGTGCTGCTCAGTTTTGAAATTTGCACCCAGACTTTTTGCCCTTGCAAACACACAAAGAAGAATGAAACTTCCCCATCCTAGTCCAAGGCACCAAACCAAGTTTCTGATGCCCAAGTTCATGTCTCCAAATTTCTCTGCATCCTTACAAGCCACGACCTCTCCA